CACTGTTTTAGAGTTCACCGGGCCCATCTCACGCAAAAAGCTAGAGACTCTCTACCCTTTGCTTCAAGACTGTTTTTTAGATAGGGGTTGTTCAGCCCCTATTTTTTGCATTGACAAACCCTATTTTTTGACATTGGCCTTTAGGGTTCATGTTGGGTTGTTACTTGTTTGTTCTCGAAAAGCAGCTATTTCTTAAGAGGTAATTACTATTTCTTGACAGGGTCCTCGGGTCCCTTTTGCGGCTGCGCAACGCACCTGCTGAAAGTTTTGCGTAGACAGAGCATTCATTCTAGCAAATTGTAGAATTGTCCTCTGCAATTTGCGCAGGTGGCACGAACAACAAGCAAAAGTGTGCTTGTTTTCTTCGTTCCAATTTTCACTCAGGTCCAACGACAAAGTGAGCGTAGACAAACCGTAGACAAACCGTAGAAACACAATTTATGGGAGTAGAACCACTATTTGTTTGGCGTAGAACCACTATTTGTTTGGTGTAGAACCACTATTGTTATGCCTAGAACCACCCTTTTGTGGAATAGAACGATCAAATCTTTCCGGGGAACCAGAAGATCAACATCCTCATCCTGGAATGGTTGCTGTGATGGGAGAGATGTTGGCGGTCTCTTTTTTTTGGTTTGGCTAAGGGGGTGGGCCAGAAGAAGGAAAGAAATGGTCAGAAGAGGGTTCACCTTCACGCGCTGCATGGCCATGTTAAGAAACCAAGCGACATAGAAGACAACATTAACCTTGCAATTAGTGAAGCACATTGCTGCATATGTATATACATATTCGGCTTTGGGATCCTATGGGGCGGCCTTGGCGCCAAGTCTTTCCTAGCCCTTGTTCCAGTTCAAAACGGAGGCGGCCGCTCGTCGTCAAAAAATAGTCCTTGTCACAACGCCTATCTTCAATTATATAGGCTTCGGAAGCAGAGGGCCTATATTTCACTTGAACAAATGCCAAGGGCAACTTGCCGAACATGGCGACAAACAAGTGATAGGAATGGAATGGTCATTATATGTCATTATCTTGCTTGTCTATCAAATTCACTGTTCCCCATCTCTTATCTCTCTATCCGTTCACCCTTGCATCTTGGACGTAGGAAGCAAGGTGAACGGGAGATGAACAAAGTTTCACTCGCCATCTGTTAGCCGACACTTCACTTTCTGGGATTTAACCGGTGAACGAAGGTTGCAAGAAGGGGTCCACTTGCAATGTATTTCGGGGATGTCACCGCGTTTTCTCAAAACTTGGAAAAACGACCCGAAAAGGAGCGTGCAAGATCCTGAGGTAGAATCCATTGAGCTGGCATGTCTGGAATACATGAGATTATCGATCCGTGTTGGATCTTGGACACTCAAATGTATCAGCGTCCAGCACCCAAAGCAAACTCGGATCATTTCCTCTAAAAGCCCCAAACCTCGGTAGTCACAAGAGCCAACCTTAAGGGAAGCCCCTAGAACAGGCCTCTTTAAAGGATCACACGATGTCAGCTGGTAAAGTTGGCATCGCCATGGTGCCCAACAGAACAAGCAGGAATTTGCCTGCGGATCTGTGACGGGTTTGGGCCCTCCAAAGGCAGTTCCTCTTTGCATGTCATATCCTTCACTTGCTGGTTCGATCAGGGTCCCGAAGAAATGGCGCGACCTGAAAAGTCCTCCGCGTCCAACTGGCTTCCCTGGAGGGAATCCCCAAACCTGTCATTCCCAACGCCCGGACTCGGTCCTTCCCGACCTATCCCACCAGCAAGCTTAAAGGGTGCGCACCAAGCTTAAAGGGTGATTCGCTTCCCAACTCCGAGGCTTAGACCTGGGAAGCGTGGGCGCTGAATGCCAAAATGGGCGCTGGGGTGCTGGTAACACGAACAGTCCAGAGGAAATCACGGCCCACAGCGTACCCCTCTCAATGCTAAATACTGAGTTGCCAAACTTTTGGGACCCAGGACTTTTGGGGCCACTCAAACTGGTTGCCAAACAGGGAAACTAAAAGGTCGAAAGGCTGGCTTTGGGCAAGTGAGAATGCGGATTGGCAACACGACCTTGCGTGGCCAGACTCAACCCCATTCCCAAACCCGCAACAAATAACACTGTTTGGAAAGGGGGTCATATTGAAGCAAATTGAAAAACATCTTGACTGGCCTCAGAGGGATCCTATAAGTTCCATTTGCGGTTTCGCCCCCTGGAAGAAAACAACAATATGTCCAGTAGTGATGGATTCCGTTTAAAGCCAACAGCAGATCAACAATTATTCATTTCAACACATCTAGGTCCTTCAGTGGAGAGGTTAGAATAAGGGTACCCTTTTTCGTTAGTCTATTTTAGTAGGGGAACCCTCCCCCAAACAAGTTTGGTAAAAGGGCACCAATTGCTGGGGGACCTAGACACGGAAGATTTCAGGAAGCCACGCAAGCGCTCATCCGCTCATCGCTCCACTGGCCCAGGCGCTTCCAGGCATAGTAGAACGTGAGCCCCGGCACCGCCACCGAAGCAGAGCTCCCTACCACCTGACGACTTGTTTTCCGAGCCTCGGAATCTGCATGGCACCCTGGCTTCATCAGCTTCCTTTTGGCCTCATCCTTGTGGTTTCCTTTAGGTTCCTTTTGGTTTCAGTCTCCTTTTGGCTGCATTAGGTCTGGTTGATCCCGAGGAACCCCGCTAAAGTGAATTAACTCAACACACCCCTGACTTGCATGGTGCTCCGGCATTCCGTGAGGGTCTCCACAATACGCTCACAAAGACCAGTGACAAGAAATCTGGCCAAATATTGGGAACCCTGTTGATCAGCAGCAGACCTGGAAGCTTAAATAGGGAAAGGAACCCGATTTAAGAGGGAGCCCGGATGACTTCGCGGAGAAGCAACTGCCTAGTCACCCGCCTGGCTTTTTAGTAGAAAGCAACACCACCCCCTTTTAGCTTCCAGTCGGGAAACTTGAGCATCACTTATTCAGCGACCGGAAACTTGCGATAACATTGGACAACCCCTCCTAACTTCCGGTATCTTACCCAAGGAGAGGATGGCTGTCTTCGGTTCAAAGCCTTTGCTCCAATTCTACTGCCACTGAAAAACCTCCGCCAAGAATGCCAACTACAACTCTCTTCCTGAGTGGATTGGCCAGAAGAATTCCGAACTTCCTATATTTCCCACCCAAAATGGTCTTCCCCCCCCCCCAAAAAAAAAAAAAGAAAAGCAAGTCCGGGAACTCAGGAAGTGAGACAAAAACTAATGGGTTCTCCGCATTTTTCCGCGCAAGCTGTGAGACATGAAAGTGAGCTTCATCCGACAGTGACGTCCAACCCCCCTAATAAAAATTAATTCGCTATAAATTGCCAGGACAAATGTCACAAGGGTGGTCATGTGCTTGACTCCGGAAGTGTGGGTGGGAACCCGAGTCCCTCATTTGCTGTGTCGCGCCATGAAAAACCCAGGAAAATTGAAGGTGATCCCCTTTTGGGGCCACTAAAAAACTGATTGCCAAAAGAAAACAGCGGAAAAAAAGCAAAGCTAAAATTGGTGGATTCCCTTTGGGCAAGTTTGGGTGTGCCCATTGTCGAAGACGAGAACCTCAGGCCTTCCGTGGGCTTGTCAAAGATTTTTCGAACGGGTCTGACAGCGCAAAATGGCTCTAAATCTGAAGAAAAAACAACCTTTGAAATACCTTTGCCCCCGACATGTTCGCAGTATGATTTTGTTTATGCAAAATACATGTATATATGTTCCAATCGTATACTGTCCGATTCCTGTTTCATGATGCTTCCCTGCTTTTCTATATCGTTTCCATTCCCTTTTCCTTTGTTTCAATTGCTATACAGCATCATGGTCTCTCCATTCCTTCCCCGATCTCTGCATATTCCTTCCTATTGCCTGTCCAAGCTCTTCCTGTTTCTTTCAATACAATTTCAGATTGTTTTTCTTTCAATGTCTATTTCATGTCTTTCTATTTCTTTCAATATCATTTCCACGTTTGTTTTTGATTCCATGTCTTGGCAAGGCTTTTCAGCCTTACTTCCTGCTCCTTTCCAGTTCTGCCCATTCCTTCCCATCAGCCAAAACCAAAGGCCAGGCCGGGCCCCTAAAGGTCTCGTGTTTCTTTTCACTTGAGTGCAATTCCCTTCCTTTTCCTTTACATGTCCATGGCCTTCCTTTTCCGTGTTCAACGTCCTTTCCATTTCGTAGATCCTTTTCCATTCCTCTCCATGTCCCCTCAGATTCTGTCCATTTCCCTTCCACCTTTCCATCTCACGTCCGATTCATGTCCATCCCGTCTCTGTCTTTTCCACTTTCCCTTCATTACTTTCAATTCCCTTCCATTTCAATTGCATTTGGTGTCCATTCATCTCCCTGCCCTTTCCATCTTGATTATTCATTCTGTTTCATTTATTTCCGCGTCCGGCGATGCAAACGCAAGTGGCAAAAGCAAGAACAAGAGTTGGCGTTAGCATGTGCGATTCCCTGCGGAAACTGTTTGCGACCCACCCTTCCACGACATCCTTGGGGCGTCGTATCCTTGTTTGAACTCAATGGGCAAATCTACGACCCCTGCCTTCCGAACTCAGCAAAATGAGCTGAAGTCGTGATGCCAAGGCTTAAGTCTCTTGGAGGTTTGCCACATGTGCCAGCCCTGGTGAAGACCAGTTGGTGGTTGATCCATATGCGCCGCGGTCAAAACTTCCGTTGTGGCTCATATTTGAATACATATCTATACCGTGCTTTTTGGGTTATAACATGTGTATATATATATATAAAACGGGCATGGTTATGGCAAGCGAGGAGCATGTGACGACACAGGGCTCCCTATATTCCAAGTTCCACATCACCGCACCAAAAGGGGTTTCTCATGCACTTTGACCTGTGGCCATGGCCACATCTTCGGCGCTTGTTTTAACCTCTCGCAGATTGTCAACCGAGAGGTGCTCAACAATGTCAACCCCAGATGAATCCTGGCTAGCCGGAAAAACCTCCTTAACAAGATCCCCCAACAGATTTGCAAGGGGAACAGGGAATGTTCCGAGATGAGTTGCTCCAATTGTTCCACTGTTTAGGTCATCCACCGTGGCAAAGTGCAGGCGATTCATCTGGCAAGTGGACATTACTGCGCAGGAATTCCCATGCAACTCCCAGATAGAAGTGCCACTGTACACAAATATCTCGCTCGACCCCCGTTCGGGTGCCCAAAACCTTGCTGGTTCTCAGGGAGTTTCATTCGGGCCATGCGAAACCTAAAAGGAATCCGTAAACGGCATCTGCGATGTCTATATCTCATGGGGGCTGGGAAGGAGGGAGGGGAGAGAGGGAGCCCAAATAAGCCCTTTTTGAGCCCCTAAATAAGGCCTTATTTAGGGCTTATTTGGGCTCCCTCTCTCTCCCCTCCCTCCCCCCCAGCCCCCATGAAGATCTCCAAAACCTGAACAATAAACTGTTTTCTCCCAGGGCACACATCATTGTGAGCCGGTTTTATCTTGAGTTCACCGCCCACTGAGAGCCAGCTTCAGAAACGCTAGGCCTGCGACGAAAGCGAGAAGCCCAGGCTTCGAAGAGGTCACTTCGCTTGAAAATGGGAGGCTCATGCCCTTGCAGGACCCGAGAAGTGAAACCTTCACAACGAATCTTCGACTTCTTGATCCTTCTAGGTTGGTGGGGTCCATACCTAGAGTCTCCATAACCCCTAGAAAAAGGGGCCATAACCCCCTAATGTTGGGTGGTGACCACCCTTTTGGGTAATGACCCTATTTTTGTAAGGGTCATAGAGACTCCAGGTACCCCATTTTGTTGGGCTCCGATAAAAGGAGAACTTGTCCAACAGGAAAAATGAGCTCTCAGATCCGGAATCCCCGTCGGGCGGGTTACACCCTGCATGGCTGCGGTGCGGGGAGCAGACCGAGAACAATAGGTCCTGAAGTGTTTGAGATAATGCTACTTTCGGATTCGAAAGGAGGACCATACGAACCGCAGTGTTGAGGAAATGATGCGGTTCGAAGAAAGGGGAGTCCTCTGGGTAACCAATTATCGGAACGCAGCTCGAAGCAATCAGCGCGTCGCACCCCGTAGCCGCAGCCAGGCGAAACCGAATTCATTCCAGGAAAGACTGCTTGAAAAAACGCGGAAGACGCCCGAGTTCCAAAGTTTGAACAGCCTCCGCGAGCGGGTTTGCGTTGTGAACTGGGAAAGGAGGCTGGCCGTGCGTTTGGGAACGAGTTTGCTTTGGGGCCTTTGCACCTCTCTCTCGACGCTACCCGAAAAACGCTCCCTGGCACGGCCGCATGCATGGGCGCAGATTCCGCCTTTGGGCGGCACATCGGCTCTTCAGATCGAGAAAGCCAACGAAGCCCGGCGGATGTGGTTCGCCAATTCGGCCACAAAAACGCTCCTTTCGAACCGAGGGCTGACGAAGTGATGTCTGGTCCCGTCTCAAAATGGGGGACCCCCATGTGTTTTTCTTTCCTTTTTTTCTGGTGGCTTTGCAATTGGTTCCCCGCAGATCCGGCGACTCCCCTCCAATACAACGGAAGGAGGGCACTAGATCTGCCGACTTAGGACCGGACGGACGCCGAGAGCGACCCAAAATCCCTGGACTCCAAGAAAATCGATCCTCGGTACCTCTCCTTTTGGGCTTCATCCACGAAACTGGGATAAGTCTTGCCTTCCCAAAATCGGGGGGGGGTGTGCACGTAAGACTATATGAGATGGTCTTTCAAATTTCAGAGATATGAAATAGTGCTGGGGACCCCACAATTAAATGGCTGTGGCTCAAAACCCTGTACCCCAGTGAACATCCCAATCCCCACTAAAATAGGTTCTGAACTGGGTGGTGCACTTACCGTTGGTTTTGCCCCACAGCCAAATGGCCACATGGAGCTCGTTGCTTCACTCTCGGGGTTCTACCTCTATGCAAATCTCGCAGTCGTCTAGCAAGCCCCAGCCCTCCGCCAGCAAACAACCTGAGTGACACGAGCCCCAAAAGAACCCCCCCTTGCTGAGTTGAATTGCGCGACCTTGGCGAATGCTTAAGCCCCCTGCAAAATAAATGAGACTATGTCCTGTAGGGATGAATTCCCTTTAAGCCACCCCAACAAGGGAAAATGCAAAACTGGATCGTTTCAGCAAATGGAAGCCAACCTGACTTAACATTCATTTCGGAGCCATAGGGAGGACCATTCATTCGCATACCGCCCCGATTTGGTTGCGACTGACGTTACCCTAAAATTCATCCCTCTGCTCGCCTTGAGGTTTCTGAAAACGGACGCCTGGTGGCTGCCTCCCGCTTTCCGACTAAACATATCCGTTGGCAAAGTGGGTTGCTTGGTGGGCGCAATGCGATTAGCATATCCCAGGCGTATCCATCTGGGCTGTTCAAAATGGAGTGGCCCATCCGATTTTCTATAACCCCTAGAGGAAAACCACTACCTTAAGGGGCCCAAATCCTTGCGTAACTCAAGGTAAGGATCTTGCGGATTGCCTCTGAAGAGCCCAGTCCATTTCTTGGCAAGGTGAGATCTTCCAAAGTCG